GCGGAGCGCCGTTTTTTTTTTTTTTTGTATATAGTCAAAGGTCGAAAGATCACTATTAGCTTTCAAACAAGTTCATCCATCAATTAGGGGAATCAGGCAAAATATTGAGGCAAAACAAAGGCGGAACCACCCCACCCTCTCCTATTTTGGCTACTAGGGTGACAGGTACCTTGAACAACATTTTCATAAAGTTTCATGCTGGTAGCCTAATCTGAAATATTCCGGTGATTTTTTACCCTAAGCGACCGCACTATCAACGGTAATTCTTTAAAACTGCCGTGATTCTTTTCTTTGCCAAAATTAAGAGTTTACCGTTCCATGTCATTCTGAGCCCAGTATGCAGAAGTTTTCAAACTTAATTGAAATTAAGAAATTTCCATTTTATGAAGTTCCATGAAATCTTGCTTCTCTGGTTTGAACAATCGCGAGTAGCACCTGGCATGCTTTTTGCAGGGCGCCTTCAACATTGTAATTATGATTAAACATGGTTGGAGTAGCATCTACGAATAATAAAATAAGTAATAAGACAGGAACCTTGATGCTTACGATTTTTTACTTACATAATTTAGTACATGAAGAGGTGGGAAACAATTATTGTAATGATACTTCAAACGTGACACTCATACTTTGATGTGTGTATATTTTGCCTGCCGGAGCGTATGTTCAGTTTAGAATTCATCCCATGTTTGAAAAATTCTTAGTTCCGCGAAACTCGAAGGATATCTGCAATTTCTTTGTGCATGCAAAACTGAGAGGAACATTTTCAATTCCACGACGACTTGATGGAAAGGCCTGGCTTTCATTTGAGCTGCATGGAAGTGTTGCGAGTTCCATGTTGAGCTCACGAGGAAATGTTTTCATTTCCATAAAGGTCTGATGGAAGTGACCTGGTTTCCATGTGAGTTTCATTGAAACGTTATGATTTCCACATGGAAGTCAGACGATTCCTAGGATAAATCACATGGAAATCGAGTCGTTTCCACGTGAATCTACATGGAACATGTTTAGCAGGGATGAAACTATTAAAATTTTTCTACAACATGAAGCATGACCGGAAGGAAATATTTAGCATAAATAATTAATTTAATTTAACAAAAAGAAAAAACCAAAAATGGTGTATATCGTTCGGAAAATACACAAAAATAAACACTGAAGTGGAATTAATGCTGCCTTAAAAGTTTTCTAAACTTTGACGACTTCCTTTTAGTTTTGTGATATTATATAAATTGAGAATTTTGTGTGGTAAGGAGTTACTGCGTCACACCTACAAATCACTGGTTTCCATAAAAATTAAAGTTTTCATTGTACAAAAAGCCGACTCATCGGTAATTGTCTGGTCCGAGAAGACTACAGGGAACAATTTGATGACTGTTTTGAAACTCCTGGTTTTGTCCGGCGAGACGAACACCACACTCTATGCAACGTCCACAATATGTTGCCAAATGTGACGACACCTCTTTCTAGTGACTTTCGTCGTTTAAAAATGAACAGCATTTCAGTCCAAAGGGGCAATTTTTTTTAACATTAGTGTCTCCTCTCGGCAAATATTGCATAAGAAGCCATGATCAGTACTGATTTCTTACCCCAAAATTGCTCTTTTGCTTCATAATCGTACCTAACGGATATTTTTGGGATATCATTCTCATATCTATACTATAAGCTCCGAGACCTCCTAATTTTGCGTAACTGGTAACGCTTAGTTCCAGCCTTCTACCGGGCCGATTTTCATGATTTTTGCGGCAATCGACGGGCAATTGTCTCTAGATTAGCCAACTCTTTTCCGATTTTGAAAATATGGCCCAGGTTTTTTTATATTACGTGGTAAAGTTGCGAATTCTCCCATAAGAACAATGTAAATTTATACTTTTTGTCATAGTTCGTTTGAGCGTTCTACCGGGCCGATTTCCATGATTTTTGCGTAGATCGTCAGGTAATTGGCCCTAGATGTGCCCGCTTTAATTAGATTTTGGAAATAGGACCCAGGTTTTTTCAAAATCACGTTATAAAAGTGAGTAACTTTACAGAATGCTCCGGGACTGCTGCCGCTATGCGCGGGAGGATGCGCAGTGGTCGAGGAGGTTGCGCAGTAGCTGGGTAGCCTGCGCATCAGCTCTACACTTATCTAAGCCCTTTCCACACGTTGCAAGTTTTGATGCAAGTGAGCCGAAAGTGGGAGTCATCACTCATCGATGGTCGTGAAATTTGCGGACGGGACGCAAATTTCAGCATCATCGATGAGTGATGACTCCCACTTTCGGCTCACTTGCAGCAAAACTTGCAACGTGTGGAAAGGGCTCAACACAAGATTTCCGCCGATTACTCCAAGACGAGCGGTGGCCGAGTCGTCTACGACGTCGGAAGTGTCCACATAGATCAAGGTGTGGGTTCGATCCCCGCCTCCAGAGATACTTAATAATTATCCGATTTAAATAGATCGTTGTTTTACTGTAATATTTCATCAAGCAGTCATTCCAAAACGCGTCCTTTTGACTTCAAAATTTTTTTTCCTTTATTCATCAAAACCAAAAATTATTTCATTCTATCAAGTATACCTCATATCGAATTTTTTTAGGGGAAAAATAAAACTAATACTAATAGGAGGGTAAAAAAAGGGCCGCGAAGCGGCCCATTGATGGCGCGGAGCGCCTTCGGGGGGTTGGGCCGCGTAGCGGCCAGGGGGCGTAGCCCCCTAGTTATTAAATATGATCATAAATTATCTAATGTTTTGTCATGAATAAGTTCAGAGACATCATTCCTCTTGATTTATCAACTCAGTTTTCAATCGATTTGGCCTAGGTCATTAACATATGTATAGCTCACGGCGCGCGGCGCGGCGACACGACTATTCATTTTATCGTGAGACCACCCCTCTGCCTCAGCCTCCTAATGACATACCTAAAAACCATTTTAAAGCCCACGTTGACTCTTAATTTTAGAAATTAACTAGTCGTGATTAGCTCGGTTTGCGAGCTGACATGTCTAGCCGGGGGGTGCCCCTGGACCCCAGTTCTTCGCTTCGCGATGAACTCGTGACTCGCTCCGCGAGCCGCCACCGCCCCGCATAGTTTTTAACATTGATGAGCAGACAACATCTTTGTTTTAATCTTCTTTTCCACTAAGTTTTACAGAAATTGATGTTCCAAGAGCCTAGACCGCATTTTTGTGCGGGGCTGCCATCTTGGATTATGACATTTTGAAAATCTGACCAAAAATTCAATTTTCCCGTCGAAATACACCCCCTAAAACCAAATTTCACATAAATCGATGGATCGGAAGCCGAGATAGCAATTTAGACCACGTTCGCCATCTTGAATATTTGAATTTTGAAAATCTGACCGAAAATTCGAGTTTCCCGCCGAACAATACCACCTGATACTGAGTTTCACGAAAATCGATGTAGCAGGAGCCAACTGAGCATTTTAGGCCACGGCCGCCATCTTGGATTTTAAAATTTTGAAAATCCGACCCAAAATTCGAGCGTCTCGTTGAATAATACCCCCGATTACCAATTTTCACCAAAATCCGTCGAAAAATACCCCCTTAAACCTCAAATTTCGTCTACAAAGCTGTGACGTCACGCATCAGGATTGAACCTGTTCGGCGAGGTGTGTGTAGACAACCGCGTATCTCCGATGCAATACTATAGGGAGAAATAACTTTGCGCTCTCGCGGGCGTCCTAGGCAGTGGATTGGAATCTGAATAATTTTGATCAACTCCTCACGACAATTGCTAAGCATGTACCAAGTTTAAAGGAAATAGCTTCGGCCAATTTTTCTCTGGGGGGGGGGGGGGGGGCAGTGTGAGCCGGTGAGGCAGCTTTATATAGAGTAATGTCTGATTTTAAACTTCATATTTTTCAGTGGTGATTTTGAGTGTTCGTGGAGCACTCGTCAGGAAATTCATGCTCGCTGCACAATCCCTAGGAATGACAAAAGGAGACTGGACATTCTTGGATGTTGAAATTGTGCAGGTACTTCCTTTAACCTGGCAATCCAACATATAACAAAATGCTGAAATGTAAACAATTTTCATAATATCCATACCAAAGACATTGAATAGAGTAGACCGTGCACTCCCTACAGTGGCGTGCGGTGGGTTTAGTGACAGGGCAAGCTCTAGCGTTCGCCATCAAGAGGGGGGGAAGGGGGGGGGTAACCTAGCCTCTTTTCCCTCCTCAGGGAGCCTCCCTAGAAAATTCTTAAAATTTTACTCTATTTGCTCTGTTTTGCGGATGAAATCTGATGGAACGTCTTGAAAAACTGTGGTTTCATTTCTTTCTCTCTTACTTATGATTTCGTTTACTCAACTTGTTTCGAATGTTATTGAGCATTGGAAGACGGCTCCATGCTCTTAAATCCTAATTTTGCCATGCCACTTATTTGAGGTAGTATAGTCTTTATTCTACATATGGCATTTAGAATTTTTTGAGGTACTTAAAATTCCCCAAAAAAACAGCTTATTTCTGCCTTTAAAACTTGATTGTGAATTGTCTAATTCTTCACCAATAAATCCAAGTGAGCGACATTTTATAGAATTTAAGGGCATTTGCTCCGGAGGAGCACTTACAACCGCGACGGAAAGAGGGAACAAGATTGCGCATCGGAGGCAGAAGCAGCGCGCTGCGGTGACGCGTGACGGGCCAAGAGATGGCCAAGAGAAGCGAGCTGCGATCGCGCAGCGAAGGGCTCGGACTCGGAACGTACCGCACTCCCCGCCTGCCTTGATTCCGCCGCTGAGTAGTGGCGCTCCGCTCAGCTGATCGCAAGCGACTCTCCAGCGCATGAGTTTGCCCGTGTTCAGGCCGCGCAGCGCGCTGCGCCACCTCCATCCTCTCTGCCGCTTTCCTACTTTCGTGGCTCTATACGTATTTCTGTCTCTTTCTCTTTCTGCTTTTAATGCAATTTACGTACTGAACACCTTATAAATTATATTTGCTAAAATGTAAAACATGTTAAAGGTGTAATTTTCTTCTTTCTCTCGAAATCTTTGGGCAAGCAGTGCTTGCCTTGCTTATCCGGACCGCACGCCACTGACTCCCTATCTCCGCCGTGTCAGCTGAGCGAGGCAACTTCGGCGGGACTCCGTAATGGGCGGGCGGGGTGGTAGCTCGCGACTGAGCCCAACTGAGCCCCACGCAGCATGAGCCGGCATTGCGCGTACTTGGAAAAATTAGTTGCGCGCTCGGATTTTCGCGAATTACTCGTTTCCACTTCATTTTTCGGCAAAATTTACAAGGACTACATGTTAATAGCATGAAATTTACTATTACTCTGAACAATTTTCGTTTCTCTACAGTCATTACTGTCTGGAAAAAAACGCTTCATAATTGAAAATATGAGGAAAGTGACCTGCGTATCAGACGGATGTTCTTATAATGCGTGCAGCTTGTAAAGATGACGGCGTGGATAAGAAGTAATTTTGTAAAAGGTACAAAAAGGATTTAAAATGAGGTCAATCATATAAATCAAGGGTAAAAACGAGGAATAATGTTATGCTTTATACATAAAAAGGCATATAAAAGTTAGGAGAGAGTTACTTAAAGCTATTGTCCATCTTGATCTAAGAGTAAGATTTGATGAAAAGCTGAAAAAGAGGGGCAACGATTTCGGCAGTTTCAAAGTACCGAGATTTACTTAAGATTATTCCACTGAAAAAGATAATGTTCAAGCATTATTATCAAACTAATTTGCGAGTCGCAACTTAATGTTATTTAATCTGCTCAAAAATTTCAAAATCAAAACTTCAGTCACTTGTTTATGACTGGCGATCGCGGATACCGTTTATTTTCAAAAAGTATGGGTAAGTAATTGCTCTTAATTCTTTTGTATTTTTAGGCGGCTCTGTGATTAAGTCGCTGCGCTCGAGAAGGGCACCTCTTTTTAACGATGTTCCAGAATCTATGTCGCTCATATTTGTTTAGAAGAGTAGTTCCTAATGGTAGATTTCAAGGATTTTTTCACAGCAAATTGCAGAATCATGAAAAATAACTCAGTAGAAATTTCAACGATATCCATGAATTTCCTTCACTGATGAACTATTAGTAGAGATTTTGAGCCACCGCAACCAAGAAGTGCCATTCTTGCACCCAGTGCCTCAATTTTTCTGCACATTGCAGTGCAGTGGATTCTATGAAATGAGTTTTCATCATGTCGGGTCGGGTGGGGTAATTCCGGATGGGGGTAATTCCGGACTAGCCCAGCAGAGGGCGTTTTAATCGCGTTATCGAAATTTTCCGCCAGGTGGTGAATCTCTATGTTATGTTGACCATACTGTGTGCAGCCATTGTTGTTTTGTTAATGTTTCGTCGCCGCGAGAACTCCGCAAATTTGGTAAGTGGAAAAAAAGTGTTTTACAATCTCGTAGACCTATTTTAACCACCATTTATGACAGTGTAATAATTTTTTCCAAATCAAACCAATATTAATTCTAAGTTGTCATGCATATGAACTACTCATTTCATGGATTCTTCGAACCGGCTTTGTAAGCGGGGTCAGTTTAGAGGTTAATCCGGAATTACCCCCGCCCATAACCCCCCCGGGGGTAGTTCCGGACGTGTAAATTTTAGGTTAGATTATTAACTAAACTTGTTTTTTTGCACTGTTTAGGTCCAATATGCCAAGAAAGTATACTAAGAAACGTCCTCCCAAACCTTACACTGAGGTAGACCTGCAGAATGCTTTGAAAGATGTTCAAAGTGGAAAGTTAAAACTCTTGGCTGCTGCTAGCAACTACAATATCCCATCATCCACTCTTTCAGACCATTTAAGCAACAAAGTAAAGTTTCAAGGTATTTAGAAGACTTTAGTGACGTCTCCGAAGAATTTGATGCTCCTTTGCTTGAAGATTTTGTGGACTCCGCTGCAGGGGAGAAAGCTAAACTAGATGACTTTGTACTGGTGCGCTTCAAAACGCCTTCTAGTAAGGAGGCTTTCCTGTATTATGTGGGTCAAGTCACAGCAGTTTTAATGGATGATATTTCAATCAATTTTATGAGGAAGAAAAAAACGTCTTTCGTTTTTCCTCATGTGTCTGATGTCAGTGAAGTTTCGAAAATCGATGTGAAGAAAATCCTGCCAGAACCATCTGTTCGCCGTGGTTATCATACTTTTAAAATAATTTTTCCAACTGAGCTAACCTTACAGTGATTAGGTAGGTAGGTACGGTAGGTACCTATTTTTAATTTGCTTTTTTAAATTGCTCAGGTGTTTAAATTAGGTAGGCATATTTTCTTATATTCTGGCGAACTTTTTTTTTTTATCCTCCTTCGTTTTCTTAGTACCTAGATATGTAAGCCCTTTTCGTTTTTCGAACTTCCAGTTACCTACTTTACCTAGGTATATGTTCTCATTTCCTTAAAATTTAAGTAGGTTGGGATACCTAATTGTTTTTTTTCTTTCAAATTTGTTGGTAGGAAGGTATTATTATTTGATCTCTTAAAACTTGAATTACCTAGTCACGGTACGCAATCCTTCCCACTTTTCTTTAGGTAGGCATCCTATTTTATTCAGGTAGGTATATTTATTTTTTAAGCATCAGGTGCCTTTTCTAAATTTAAATAAGTTACTTCAGTATCTTTACCTAAGTGCTATTGTGTTACCTACCTAATTTCTAAAATTTTAGTTACTTACCTGATTGTTTGTTCAGTTTTCGCTAATATTTTATTTCTTCGTTTCACTCGGATTAAATAAATGTTAACTTTTTTTGTACCTACCTGTTCTTTTCTTCAACCTTTCCAACATACCTACCTAGGTACCTACCTATGTGTAAAACCATCTATGTGAAGGAGTGTCCTAGTAAAACTGGATTGTTGGATTATTGAAAAAATGCAAAAAGATAATTCAAATTCAATAATCCGATTCAAATTGAATCATCTTTTTGCCAAATCAATCATTTTTAATAAATTTTATTGCCAAATAATCTTTTAGATTTCTGTTGGACGTGCAAAAAGTTGCCCCTTTCAGCAAAATTGTAATTCACCAATGGGTTGTTTGTTTTTTTCGAATTTTTCTCAAAGTAATTGAGAATTACTGACATTCGGAATTACACCGGAAGTACGATTTGGGGTAATTCCGGATGTTCGAATTTCTTTAAAATTCTTGGACAAAGTGATGACAAAGAGCATACAAATTAGCCTCTGAAAGGAAACTGCATAAAGTCAGTGTGGGGCTGATATACATATCCGGAATTACCCCCACCCAGCGGGGGTAATTCCGGATTGATGGGGCAATTCCGGATTGAAAAAAATGAGCTGCAATTATTACTTATCTTGTCTCGTATGGGCATGGTTGGCATCCTCGGAACGTCTAGTTTCCAAAAAAACACAAACTTGCGCAATTTGGTTAATTTTCTATGAACCTATTTAAGATTTTCATCAAACTAATCAGAAACGTCCGGAATTACCCCACCCGACCTCCTTACTTTCCTCTCTAAAATTAAAAAAAAACACAGCACTTATGCTATGTTTTCAGCAAAATGCTGAGGGCATTTACTTAATATTACATTTATCACAAATAAATATCAGAAACTGAAACAACACTATTTTAAAATTGAAGACACTAAGTTGACTACAATTTTCAATGAGGAACTGCTATTCCTGGCTCATTTTAGGAGGAACAAAATGTGCCATTACTTCATGATCCGTTGTTGTGTCGTGTATTAGTTTCCTGTGTAGATAGATAATAAAACAAATGAACCAAAAATAGTAGTTCCTTAAGGCTAAATGTAGTCAAAGTTTAAAAATTATCATCGGGACATAATCATTCTTTTGTCTCTTGCCCGGTTCATCAAGAATTTGCTCATATAAGCATACCATAAATTGAGAGTTGTGTGGTGTTTAATCATGAAAACTAAAACACATCTACACAGAAACATTTGATTATAATTAAAGAACACATCAGCCGAAAATATTCGCATTAATCAATTAATAATTAAAGATTTCGGAGCCGAACCGTACCAGCCTCGTATAAGCGCACTGTTCGTTTACCGCGAGCTGGGGACGGCTGGGGCTCACTCACCTCACCGGTGCCGTTTCGGTGTCCCGCACTCATCGGTCGGTGCGGCATGCGAATGTAAGAGAAGTGGCCACCGCTCCATTTCACAGCGCACGGTCTTCTCTATTCAATGTCTTCGATCCATACGCGTTTGGCGGATTTATTTGGATACTTACGTTGTAACAATATATCAGATTTATTCTAATAGCAAACCGTGTTTGCAATTTTCCATTGGTAAGCATTTAGGCATTTGAAATAGGAATCAGTGGGATCAATTACAATGATTGAGAGGGCCTTTTATTCCATTACGTTTCAATCCCCGTATTGCCCCATATTACAAACTGGTATTTCATTGCCCCACATTGTGGGGCACTACAAAAAAACTTATAGCGCGGGGCAAGGAAACAAAATTTTTGCAATCCCCCGCAGGAATGAAATGATTTCACAGCCCCGCACCAAGAATTTTAGAATTTTATTCCCCCCGCAGATCGTGTTGTTGACTTTTAATAACCACATCTGGTATTTTACACCATGAAAATCAGCAAAAAAATTCTTAATGAATGTTTTATCACTTAACTAGTTACACTTGACAGCCCTCCCTCTTATATTTGGAAGATAGCTATATTTTGCAAGGAAAATAATTTCCATTCAGCAGTCCAGTCCATTTATTTGTAAATTTATGGGTGGACAGAAAAACTTGCTTGCAACAAAGGAAAAATATGAAACAACTCACCACTGAATGCACAGAGCTCGCCAACAAAGGTAAGATCTTTAATTTTTAGTCATCCGACAAAGTAAAACACTTAAAGCGCCGCAATACCCAAAATTCTCAACAATTCCAATTTGCTCCCTTCTTACTCACAGAGGAATCTATAAACTCATTGAAAATTATTAACTCACCATTTTACTTTTTTATAGTAAGGAGATAAAAATCTTACACAGCGCATTTGCTTTTTCAAGCATTTTTAAGGTAAATCATCAAGATCGTGATGACGGGATTTTGCTGCTAAATCTCTGTTAACCCTTAGATGACTAACCGTTTCTACCTACCTACACGAATGCCCAACCCGGTCCTGCGAGACCCGTATTGAGAATATACAGGGTGTCCAAAAAGTCCGTACCCCCCTTGGTAACTTTTGAACGAGTGAAGATAGAAAAACGAAACTTTGAGAATGTTTCTATCTCAAAGGGGACCATCTTTAAGGGGGGGGG